AGTTATTTAAAACAAAGAGTTGGCATGTTCTTTTCAAAACTTTTTAATTAAATTTCTAAGATTTGACTTGGTTTTGTATTGCTATAATGAAAAAGATTTTCTAGGGGATTTACATTGGAGTTATATATAAAAACGTTTTCTTGATTATTAACTAGCTTCAATTAGAATGTTTAAATATATTAAGGAAAATCTGTTATTTTCTGACTTATTTAACTTGGCAAGTTGACCGAATTTTGTGGGTATATTCGCTGTAAACACTCACGAGACTACAACTCGTCCACTAGGGTAACCTAGGGGTTTAAAGGCTTGTTGTATGCGCTAAATACAACCGCGATTCCTACGAAAGTGAGTTAGGATTTTCTTTTTATTTTTTTGCTAGAGGACTAGCAAAAGTTTAGGTGTGGGGGTATTTGATAATCATATTTTATTACAATTTTATACCCTCATTATCTATTTTATATGAATAAATATACCATTAATAATTGTTGTTAGATTAGTTTGCACATAATTGAATAAATATTATTAAATGTAAAAACCCCTCAAAATATCTCTTCTTTATTGTATAGCATTTTAGAAGCTCATGAAGCAAAAGCTTAAAAGAGAAAAATGATTGAAGCCCAAAGCCCATCAAAACAAAAAAATGATTACACCAAAGAGTGGAATGGACTTGGATGCAAATAGACCGGACTGCTGCAGATAAAGGAATGGGCCGGTTGCTTAATTGGTTGCTGAAAAGAAAGAAAAAAAAACAATTAAAAGCACAACATCTTCATGGGCCGGACTTGAGTGTTGCTGGGCCGAAGATTTGAAAATCATATGAATGACCGGTTGCTTGGATGTTTATTTAGGTTGCTGCAGCTTTGATTTTCATTGGACCTGCTGCATTTGAAGACCAGACTTGCTGCTCATTTTTTGTTTTGGAAATGAAATCAAAGCTCTGGACCTGCTACAGTGACCGAATTAGACTTGTGGACTTTGCTTAAAGCTCTTCAATTTTCTTTTGAAAATCAATGAATTCCAATGGGCCGGATTTCCTTGAGGTGTTGCAGATTTGGATTTGCTTTGGGCCGGACATGATTTTTCTCTTAAAAATCAAATGAACCAAATGGACTTTGCTGCAGAGTTGGTTTTTAACATCATTGGGCCGGGATTTGATAATCACATGGGCTAGAGAAGAACAAAAAACAAATTCAAAGGTGGAGATTGTTGCTTGGGGCTCAAGATAAATCCAATGGCTCATATTCATTGAAGATTACTATAAATAGGGGTAGAGAGTGAGGGGTTAAGGGTGTGAAAAATTTTATAAACTCCTTTTGGAGAGGAGGGCTACTCTTAATTGAGAAGGCCTTCCAAAAATTATAACTTTAGTTGTAATTAATAATAATAATTTTTCCCTCTTTAAATTTGTTCTTTCTCCTCTTTGTTGAATGATGAGGATGGAGATGCAGAGCAAATTGAATGCTTGCATTTCTTTTCTCTTTTATTTCTTTTTAGTAATTTCTTTATTATTGCTTATTAGTTAGATTTAAATTCATGCTTGTAGTGTAGATTTATTTTTTTTGTCTTTTTTATTTCTTTTTGCACTTTAATTTGTAGAATAGATTTATTTTCTCGCATTTAATTTTTGTAATATATTTTGTAGTGTAGATTTTTATTTTCTTTGTAGTTAGATTTATTTCTTGTTCATAGTTTATATTTTTCTTTTCTTTTTATTTTTGTAATTAGTTCTTTTTCTTGTTTTTATTTCTTAAAGATGTGAATTTAATTCTTGTAGGAAGTTTAGAATTGTATGAAACTAGTCTAATTTTTTTTTTATATTGTATGAATTATTCTCTTGTACTTAAAATATTCATGTTTAGGATAATCAACTAGAGAACTAATCGGTAGAAGATTTGATAATCTATGCTTATCTTAAAAGGTTTGATAGGTTATGCTTATGAATTCTAGGATTATTATCACGTTGTTGTTCTTATCATGAATAGTAATTTTAACTTAGATGATAATTTGATAGGTTACACTTTCCTTAAATGGTTTGATAATTTATATTTAATAAATATAAGTTAAAATATGATAAAAAGAGAATAGTTTGTATTTTATAATTAAAAATTGGTTAGTGGATTATATTCTAGATTTCTTACCTCTTTTGAATCCTCCATCTTAACTTTCTTAAATTTTCTTTTTATTCTTGGTTTTATTTCTTGATTTTATTCATTCTTCTTTCTTTCCTTGTGATTTCATTTATTCTTTGATTCTTTCTTCTCTAAAATTCAATTTTTTATCTCTTGCACATAAATCAAAACAACCACTCGTCATAATTACACTTATTCTTTATTCCTAATTGTCACGCACAAAACATAAGAACCATTTCTAATAATCTCTTAAAATCACCTTCCTCGTGGGATCGATATTTTTTATACTATAACTTGATAAATTGTGCATTAGCAATTTTGGTACATAATTATGTCGCATCACACGTGCAATGACGTGGTTAAATATTAAAAAATATTTTTTTGTATATTTATTTCATTACTTTAAATAAGTGAGATTTATCTTGAGTTCAAATATGTATAATTGACATTACTTTAAATAAGTGAGATTTATCTTGAGTTCAAATATGTATAATTGAATTATAAGATTTATTAGTATTTTATTTAAATATTAATAAAAATAAATGTAATGGATTTTAAGCTAAACATTTTGATGAATATATGTAACTGGGATATTGTAATCGTTATTATGAATTGTAGTTATAGTAATAAAGAAAATATTTCTAAAATTTAAGTTTATTCAAATATTTTTTAATAAAAAAAGCTAAGATAATTCTTTGATTTACAGCAAATATGTAAATTCTTTTTCTTCTAAGAAATTTTAAATTGATCACCACCACCAACACCTAACGGATCCCTTATTCAACATGACAATATTCTCAACAAGTAACAATTAGTAAGCCAAGGATTTTTTTTGAAAACATTGAATATTGAAGTTTGTGACAACCCCAAGCAAAATCATCACAACAGTAATTCTTTTCCAATTGGTTAAAGAGGCCACATTTATATCATAAATGTTAGCTCACATGTTGTGTTGGTTATCAGGAAGAGTATTTTACGTCTAGCTGACAATATATTCATTCACAGGATCATTAAAAGCAGATTTTTATCAATTGCCTCTCACGAAATGCAGGATCATATCTATAGACAATAATAAAATATAGTAAAATGGTTAAATATCAAAGAGTAATTTTATGTGATGTAAGCAATCACATAAGCATACAAAACTACTAATAACTTTGCATGAAAATGCCTTAAAAAATTCCTAATTGTAATTAAAAATTAAGTTGTTATATAAAATAATTTAAAAATATTGTTCTTGAAAATTTCTAATATAACCAAGATCAATCTTTCTTCACCTTTATCTTTTTTCTGGGCAACTCTAGAGTAGCATCTTCATCATCTACATCGATTGTAATAGCAGGCTGGAGTTGAATTTCTTGTGCTATTATATTGCCTTCGCCTCGTTCATCTTTTGTCTTTTCATCTAGAATTTCTTGTGCTATTATATTGCCTTCGCCTCGTTCATCTTTTGTCTTTTCATCTAACTTCACCAGGAATTTGAATGTTTTTCCGATGTTCAAAACAAAATTTTGAAAATATGGACTCTGATTATTTTTCTGTTGCAATGAGAATAAATGTTATATTAATACTTATGAATTTGTTTATTTCCTAATTTACTACTTGAATAGAGTTAGGAATTACCTCTTTCTTTTATGTAATGAATTTTTCTGCTTTGCATCCAATAAGAGTTTCTGCTGCGTCAAAGAGTGTTACTCTTACATTATCCATACCATTTTCCACGAGAATCTTAACTAAGTACCTATATTTTTCATTGTTAATTTCTAAAGATAGTTGTTATTGTATTTTAATATGTTAATGTCATAAAAAAGGATATATTACTTAACCTTGGTAGTGGGTCATCAATGATTCTGTGACATTTGTCATTCAGACACTCTTTACTAACATGTTTATCAACCTTCCTGCCACAGCCTTTGCAAGCATAGAACCATGGCTCGAGCCTATTTAAAATAGTAGTTATCTTTGCCTTAAATGTGCAATATCGTGCCTGTATATTAACAAAATTTAGTTAGATTTAAATTTGTAGATAAGAATATGCATATAATATTGTACCTGTATTGAATTCTGTGATGTATGCATAATATCACTAATATGAATTTCCTTAGTATTTTTAAAAAGCGTCGATGGAGATCTGTTTGCTTTTGGAGCTTCTTCTAATTGGAACCTGCATATTAGATTAAAATATAATACTATTTGATTATTGTTTTATATGAAAGTATGTTTGTTCTGCTTACCATTCTCTTAATTCGCTAGCTAGTTTTATTTTTAGGTTGATACATATTGTTAAAATAATTTGCGACGATATGCTTGTATCCCCTACAAAAATGAGAAAATTATAGGATTAAATTTATGTTTAGCTATCTTTAATAAGAGTTTCAGCAATAATTTATGTACCTTGATATATAGAGATTTTAAAATCTAATAATGTTATTACATGCTTATATTTGATTTCTGCTTCAAGAATTGATCCTTCATTTGTAGCCAAATCTCCAAATAAAGTTGCACGCATTGGCATTCCACTGCATATGAAAAAAGAAAGAACGATAATATTTTTTCCTTATGATATTAGTTGCACGCATTGGCATTCCACTGCATATGAAAAAAGAAAGAACGATAATATTTTTTCCTTATGATATTAAAAATAAGTAACATGAATATACATTATATCCATAAGCGTGATTTTCCTCCTAGTGTCTGGTTTGTTGTGTCTTGTAATATAGTTGATCATTGGCTTCACATTAGTTGTTATTACAAGAATATCTGCAAGTGATTTGATAAAAAGATTATGATTTTGTAGATTAATGTTTCATTTTGTATTGAAGATTAAAGTAAGAAATTTATAAGTACTTACTAATTTTTGTTGCATCTTTTATGGAAAATGCTTCTTCAAATGGGACAAAGTTATTAAATATGTTATCCAAGTGGAATCCTGTTGGTGCTTCTTTGATTGATACGTCTTTTGTTAATACTAATTCAAGTGACTTGTGGATACTTGGAAAAGCTGGGTTTATTCCTTTCACTTCTCCATTTGAAATGTAAATAATTTGATTTTTTTGAAGCATATCTATAAACTTTTCAATAGTCTTTCCGTACATTACTCCTTGTACTTTGTTACCCTGCAAATATTATTAAGACAAGAGATCAATGTATGGAAAATAAAATTAATTAATAGTAAGCTATATATTATATTTTACAATTATTTAGTTACTAATTCAAAGAAGATAGGATAATCAGAATAGATTAGGATAACAATGTAATATTTAAAAAATTTAAGGATAATATTGACCATGAAAATTTTTTCTCGAACTTGTACTTTTAAAGAGAGTATGAATATAAATCGGTTTAGCAATATTCATATGATCAAATGTGATATTGTGCAAGAAATATAATACAAAGAATAAATTTATTTTACCTGAGCGTCAACGGGAATTAGCTTTAGTAATTTCCCTGATCCTTTTGCATTTTTGTAAGTGGCCTCTGCACTTCGAAGTATGATAACATGAATGGTCCATTCTTTCTGAAACTTCTTGAGCTGACTTATTTGGATGTGCTGAGTTTGCCCTTCAGTACTGTTAGTCATATTTTTTGTTAATTTGATTAAAATATACATGTTAGTTTTGATCAATATTATAGAATATACCATAGCTTAGAAAATTAATTTATTAATTATTGTTCCTCATAAGGTTTTGAATATTAATAACTCATAATATAGTCTGAGTGGGGGAAAAAATAAGTGAATGCTAAGGGAAAAAAGTTATAAAACATTGAAAATTATAAATTATAGGAATCAACAATAATGAACGCACGTAATTATTCTGAGAAATTAATTACCTTCAGAATAGCTATTGTGACTTTGAAGTTTAATACACGTCTGTTGGTTGTAAGACTTCCTTGTATACCGGATTTTTTGTGTATCTTTCATCTTCTTTACTTTGATTCGATGAATTTCATAGACATGTAATCAGAAAATCTCAAGCTCGTAATAGGTATAAGTAGCTTACCGCTAGAAAGAAAATTGGAACCATTAAAGCTCAAAATATCCAATTATAAAGAGAGATATTTATAGTATCATTGTTTGTTGCATGGCTATTAATTGTTTTGAGGAGATAAAAATAAGTAGGGCTAAAGAAAAAATTGATGCTACTATTTTAATAGCATTTATATTGGATGATTATGATTAAATAGGTCGTCTACTGTCATCTGTATATAGGTAGCATTGGTTGATTGAAACTCAATGTTGTATATCAAATAAAATTCTTTTATAAAATTATTCATTATTTACTATTGTTAAGGATGCAAACAATCTATTATCACCCAGTTGATACATAAATATAATTTCATTATTCAATCCTTTTGAATTTTTAAATTATATCCATATGTTTGATACACGGTTTAAATTAAATAAATCTTAATGAAATGAATCAGTAATAAATAAAAAAATTTAAAAAATTACCACGTGCATTGCAATAGGTTAACTCTCCTTAGCACCTTACAATAGGTTAAGATACTGAATTGTCACTAAACTTCTCTGAGTATATTATTTTAGAGAATGCTAATTAATCATGTTAACTGAAGAAAAAAATCCTGATTAAATTAACTAAACTGAGATCAGTATAAACTCTGCTCTAAATAATCTCTGTAGGAGCATAGAAAATAGCACACAACGCCGTTCCCTCGCTTACCTAACCTACGGAACTGGCAACCCCATCGACGACTGCTGGCGCTGCGACCCCCACTAGCATCGCAAACGCAAGCGCCTCGCAGACTGCGGCATTGGCTTCGACCACAATGCCCTAGGCGGACACAACGCGGTATGTTACGTCAGTGACCGACCCCAACGATGACAACCCTGTCACTCCCAAGCCCTGGGACCCTCCGTCACGCCGTCATCCAGGAGGAACCCCTCTGGATCATCTTCAAGCGCGACATGGTCATCACCCTCAAGCAAGAGCTCATCATGAACAACTTCAAGACCATCGACGGCCAGGGCGTCAACGTCCACATCGCCAACGGAGCTTGCATCACCATCCAGTTTGTGACCAATATCATCATTCATGGGGTTCACATTCATGACTGCAATCCGACGGGCAACGCGATGGTGAGGAGGTCGCCGTCACATTACAGGTGGAGGACGATGACGGATGGAGACGGGGTTTCTATCTTTGGGGGGAGTCATGTTTGGGTTGATCACTGCTCGCTGTCGAACTGTGATGATGGGCTCATTGATGCTATTGTGGGGTCTACTGCCATTACCATATCTAACAATTACTTCACTCATCACAATGAGGTAGATTTTAGATTGCTCTAGTTAGTGCTTATAATGTGTATCTATTTTGGGAGAATTAGTGTTGAGACCAACAAATTTGATTCTGGATTGACGCAGGTGATGCTTCTGGGTCACAGTGATTCTTATGAGAGGGACAAGATTATGCAGGTCACGATTGCCTTCAATCATTTTAGGGAAGGACTCATCCAAAGGATGCCAAGGTATAAGCTGAAGCTATGAACTTTTATTTAGAACTGGATTCATTCCACATATCTTTCTGCCTGTTTTGTGAGAATGCGTTCCATAAATGTTTATGGATCCTCCTTTTATTGCTTGCCTTGGTTGTTCTTTATGGCAACATATATGGGCAGCAGTCATACTATCTTTTTCTGAAATTTACAGTGGTATTAACTCATTAGCGTCAAACCTTTGTTGGCTAACTTTTGTCAGAATTCAATTCCTGTATGTGGATCATGACGTTATTATGATGTAAAGAAGGTTTTTTTTTTAAGATTTGCTTCTATCTAAACGAAGCGTTGGATACAGATTGTAGTTGGGACTCAGGTTAGGAGTGTTAAAGTAAGTATTGGAATATGATAATTTTTGCGCACAGTTCGCTTGTAATTATTAAGTTGTTTCTGATGTACTGAAATCTAAATCGGCTCTGCGCTCAATCTCAGAAGGCATGAGGCTTTTGCAGCAATGTGCCAGAACATTTGCTCCTTCAAAATTTCGCAAAACAAAAGCTATTACGCTGCCTTACTGCAGCTTATTAATCACAAATTACTTCTAAATAAAAAATTCGGCTCATATCCCTACTTTGTACCTGTCACGTTGGTGTCACTTGAAATCAATGCGCCGTGGATAATTTTCTGATATTGAACAGGTAGAGAGAACAAAGATCAATGTGGCTATTAAAAAAAAAATAGAAGCCCTAACAAGTAGTCCTTTAGAATTTGTGTAATTTGGGGTATAATTAATCTGTGGAACCATCATCATCATATATTATTTATTATTTCTTTGACTTGATAATACTGTTATAATGAAAATATAAACAAATTTTAATTATTTATTATTTCTTTGACTTGATAATACTGTTATAATGATAATATAAACAAATTTTAATTACGTCGAAAGCACAAAGACTATTGAGAAGGAAATACTCAGAAATATACATGGTTCGGTATATAAATCACATAAAAGCAAGAAAAAAAAATCAAGAAAATATATATAACCACCATAACAAACCCATAGAATAAATCATTAAACTAAATATGAAAATTAGACACATGGTCAAGAGATATTCATATTTGTTGATTGCAGAACTAAGATGGATTTCTTTTTCCCTATTCAAAAACTAAAAGGATCGTGTCCTTTTTCTTTAGTTTACATGATACTCTTTCATCTCTCTAATTAAAAGCATGCAAAGAAAAAAATAAAAAAACAAAAATAGAAGAGGAAAATATAATCAAATAAATCTAAAGTAAAATAATATCGAACATGAAGATTTACCTTGATATATGGGAAAACCTGCAACAATCAAATCCTTAACCCTCTAAATTCTGTATGAAAAATGAAGAAATAAAAAAAATCAATTGCCATAAATAATAATTGCAGTGTAAAACAAATATCACCATTAAATCAAATACAAAATATTTTTAAAGAATAATCATGAAAATAAAAAAGAATACTAAACTGATACTCATATTATAATAAATTATAGTTCAATCGGGGATAAGAAGGTAACATGGTATTTAAAAACTAATGTAACATGATAAGAAGTTCAATCGGGGTCATATTTATAATGTAACATGGTATGTTTAATTTAGAGTCTATGGATAAGAAGGCAGAGATTTACATATAAAGTTTTTAAATTTATTATGGGTTTTTGAACATGTTATGGAGTCTCCAGATAATAGTTAAAGTTGACTAAAATATTAAATAAAATAAAATTTAAAGTTTAGTGATTATAGATAGAGTAGTTCAAACTTTATAGTGGTATATTTGTCTAAAAAAGATTTTTCCTAACTCGTGCTTTTAAAAGGAGTATGATATGAAATATTATATTATTAACTCTGAAAGAAAATTTTCCTTTATTTTTTTAGTTTTTAGACTAGGATCCGGTCTTCAAACGCACAAAAAAAACCGACCCGGTTGCATCCTTACCCGCAACTGGAGAAGAAGTCACCCGCTCCCCAAACACGTGACCCGTCCGCGTCACCGCCCATTATTGGTTTCTTGCAAAAATCGGCCACCAAAAATCATAAGTCGGTTTAAAAATCCTAAAGCCGCGCGGAATCAAAAGCCCGAAATAAAAACTAGATTTAATCTCCAGCCTTTCACGTCCACCATATATATACCCCCCGAAGTCCCACTTTTGTTGCCCTCCTTGAGTTTCGTGGTTCTGCCGTCATCGACCGCAAACCCTTTCTAGGGTTTTCAGCGTCCCCCTTTTCTTTAATTTTCTAGGGTTTTCGATTCTTCTTCGTTCTTCACTCTCTCTCTCTCTTTTTGATATCAATGGATTCCTTTGGCGCTGGTCGGAAGAGGGGGAGACCTGATGCGGCTAATGGAAATGGTGGATTTGCTGGATCTAAGCGATCTAAAGGTAAATATCCGCTAGGATTTTAGGTTACTAGGGTTTCTGGAGCTTATTTGATGCTAATATTGTAGATTATTTGTTGTTTGAGCTTCTTTTGTCTGAGATCTGAGTGGAGAGCTAGGGTTTCTGTACTTTACAATCTGTATCTTGTTAGTGTGTTCTTTATTTGTTATTTACTTGGTTCATGGCTAGTTGATGTAGCTTAGAACTAGGGTTCTTGGGTTGCGAGATGTAGTTTATAGGTAACAATTTTATTTATATGCAAGAAAGGACTATTCATCTTTTAAGCATTTTTAAGCGCTTTATGCCTATACTTAAGATTGGGGGAGTTGAAAAAAAATTATGCACCTAATTTATATGTGTGTGCAGTTCTAGGGTTCTTCAGCCACGGAAAGAGCCTCTTTTTAAAATAGCGGAGACTTTTCTGTAACACTTTGGTCTTGATCTGTACGATGAGATTGTTTGGACTAGTTTTTATGACCTTGAAAATTTTTACTAATTATTGTGGTTCGAAGATGGCCCATGGACGTAGTTCTGATTTATGTTGATTTCATTCAATCTTGTCTTCGTTATAAACTTATAATATAGAACGCTGTTTTAGCTTCCTTGTTTTCCTAGCTTTATGTGTGCATGAAACTTGATTGCAAGCAAGTTGCTTGGTGTTTTGAGTTATCGATATTATAATTTTTAAGAAACATTATATGCAATAATTTTTCTTGGAGATTTAGGAGTTGTCCAATGTTTCGCTTAAATTGTGTATGTTTTCTTAATTGATTATTTCCTTAAATGATTTTGAAATGTGGTTTTTTGCTCTAGTATATGGAACAAGTTGCGACATACTTTAATAAAATGAATTTATTAAACTGGTTACTTACCAGTAACAGTCACATCCTTAAATAAGCTTACTATATGTGTCTATATTTTGTAATTTTTAAGTGAATTTGAAAATTACTTTTATAGCGGCGGTGATACACAATAATCACTTAGAATATTTTCGTTGAATGGCTTTTCACAAATTTCACACTTATCCATTTTCAGAGTTTCATTTTTTTAATTGAGCAAAAATGTCTATTTTAAACTTAAGTTATAGTATTTACAAGTATCAAGATTAAAATGCACAGGAATTAACTCAGAGCACATAATTAATGTTATGTAACAGAAATGGACGCACAATCTGGTTTAGGAAGCAAATCGAAGCCATGCACCAAGTTTTTCAGGTTCTAATCTTAACTTGTCTAAAATAGATGTGATAAGTGCAAATCATCTCCTTCTATGTTCTCTAATTTAATCATGGATATTGTTCATAATTTATATTTTTGTAAGCACATTTAATCTTTTAAGGCTAATGAATTTGGGAATCTAAGCTTTGGTACAGGTTGTTCTTTAATCAAGTTAACAAGCTTGTTAAACAGTATAATTGGGTGATTTACAAGAGAGCACACGTCTTTCAGAAATTTTAAGCATCCTGGCTTTCAGAAATTTTAAGCATCTTATCGTGCTTGGAAGCTGTTAAACCAATGCTCATTATACAGAAATTCTGCTAAATTAAGTGTTATTTGGTTGCTCTTTAGCAACTAATTGTAAAATGTTCAGGATTCCGTCTAGTTGGAGAAGAATTCCTTCCTTTTCAGAGGTAAAATATGTTGAATTATGTTGAACAATGCCAGGAGCATGGTAAGAGTACAATAATTACTAGGCAAGGCCTACTTAAACGCAATATGGGCGCAGAAATATGATGTCAACTCTTCTGAGTAACACCCTCTACACCCTCTAAGACTCTTATCTTGCATCTATAACACAATTACTTAATGTGCCTTTTTTGTTTGTTGAAACAATTAACTGTTATTCTTTATAATTATGTTTGATGTTAGCACTAGTATTTATTCTCTATGTGAAGGTTAGTGTTATACATTGTAGTGGTTGAACATTTTTCTTAGCTCAGACAATCTTCTGGGTACTATTTTTGTTCAGAAAGTGTAATTTTTAAGGAATAATGCATTTTATAAAGTTTATTATTTGGTTAATTAGAAATGCCTAGGTTAAAATGTAATACTGATTATTTATTTTTCAACTGTGTCTTTAATTGATCGTTTTATTTTATTATCATATATTTCATTCTTTAAGGTCAGTTTATTTTGTTCTGCTTTACTCATAGGATTCATTTTGAGTTAGTTCAGTTCAGTTTGGTCATTGGTTTTTTTATGCATGTCCTGAGACATCATTTTTTGTTTTATTTTCATTTGTTTTAAGTATTTATGTTTGCATTAAAGATTTTTTTCTGCTTTTTGTTATTAAGTCTTGCCATATATTCTGTAACTGCATTGTAGCTTATTGATTGTGCAAAAACATAAGAGCTATTCAGGCCTGTTGTTTAGAGGTCTCTCACTCTGATGTGGTGGTTGGATTAGGCATCATCTATGTAGCCTGGACCCTTCTATTTTGAAGTTGAATCGTGTGGGACACATATTATGTGTAGTTTTCAGAATTTGGCGGTGGTTAGAGGGGATCAATTACCCTGGAAGATGCTGTGTATTTTGTTCTAATCAATTGAAAAAAAAATAAAATAAGAGAAGGGCTGAATATGTGGCATGTGATAGTCTGATACACTCTAATGATCTTCTCAAATGATTGCTTGAAGAACACGAGAAGGGGATAGATGTTGTTTGGTATTTAGGTATCAACTGGACAGTTTTTGTTTTGTTGTTATCTTTTATATTAAGTAGTACATGTATCATTCTTGGAGGATAGCGTGGGACATGAATCTTGGTTATGATCATTTGAGGTGATAATCAAGATTAACTAACCCTGAGTCATAATTTCTAGGGCTTAAATAGCGGGATAGTGATGAGGTAGAAGGTTTCACAATGAACAATTATAATAGTAGATACATAGGTGCAGTGTATCTGACAAGTCATTCTAGTGGTAACTTGTGCAATTGGAATAGATGTCAGTATCTGGGTGAAACCATTGCTTATATGCCCTTGATTGATGTGGAAGGAAAGACAACATATAAAGACTAGTTTTCTATTTGACCTTCATCTAGATGTGTCGCTTTTCTGTCATTCATTCATTTCTGCAAAAATCACTTATTTGATTTCCTGGTTACATATGATTAATACTTGATCATGAGCTTTAGTATGAATTGGTGTTCTTTTTTTTAAAGAAGTACTATCTGTAAACCATTGCTATGCACTCATTTCGAAGAATAGCACATGTAGCCATAATCTGCATGATTCTTAACTGCAGCCTGAGCTAGATTACCCCCTTGATATTTTCTTCTGCAGTGTCAATCTGGATCAGTGGAAATATTTTTCAAGCTAATTTTTTCTAGTTCTGCTTTTATTTCCCCTTGTGAATACAATTTATCTGATACAGTTTAATTTGAACGAAGTTCACCTTCTGTCAGATAATTTACACTTTTCTTTAGGCTACATACTCATAAAACCACTTCTTAGGATTTTTTTTAATCCGAGTCATTTGTCATATGTTCCTTTCTATTTGTTTTCACGCGTCTATGAAGTGAATTATTGTATTATTCTTCCATTTTTTTATGTTTTGTTTATGTTGCTGTCACTATTTGATGTTGAACATGAAGCGCATAACCCAATTAACACATTTATGATTGCTAAATATTTTGCGAAATTGATGACTTGATTTTCTGCAGGTGTTTAATTTGTAACTACATCGAAGATACTTCTGGCATCCATTTATAGTGATGAAGTTACATGTTAATGGATTGTTACATTCCCTTGATATGCTATTCCATGTTGATTGACGGATATTACTTCTTCTCATATTTGTGTTTTGAGTAATTTAGCAATTTAATTTTGGAAACTTCTCATGTTTCTGTGTTGTATTATGATGCAGCACGGCTGGTTGCCCATTTGGCGAAGGCTGCCATTTCCTGCACTTTGTACCTGGTGGATACAATGCCGTTGCCCAAATGACAAACATGGGAAACCCTGCACATGCCCTACCACCCAGAGGCCCTATGGGACCTTCTCCCATTCCTGATGCTCATGGCCCACCGCCTGCTGTCAAGACTAAGATGTGCAACAAGTACAACTCTGCAGAGGGCTGCAAATTCGGTGACAAGTGTCATTTTGCCCATGGTGAGAGGGAGCTTGGCAAGCCAATCCTTCCATCTCATGACGGTCCCATGGGCCCTCCTCCGATGGGTCCTGGACGAATGGGAGGCCGTGGTATGGAGCACCCCCCACCACCCACCGGCATGGGTATCCCTGGCAGCTTTGGTGCTTCAGCCACTGCAAAAATCAGTGTGGAGTCCTCGCTTGCTGGAGCGATCATTGGAAAGGGTGGTGTGAACACCAAGCACATCTGCCGTGTCACTGGAGCCAAGCTGGCTATCCGGGAGCATGAGTCTGATGCTAATCTGAAGAACATTGAGCTCGAGGGATCCTTCGATCAGATCAACAAAGCTAGTGCCATGGTGCGGGAATTGCTCATGAGTATTAGTGCTTCCGCTCCGATGCCTATGAAGAGCCACCAGGCTGCTGTTCCTCCGCAGTCTCATCATCATCATCATGCATCCAACAACTTCAAGACCAAGCTATGTGAAAACTTTGCCAAGGGTTCCTGCACTTTTGGCGATCGATGCCATTTTGCACACGGTGCAAGCGAGTTGCGCAAGACGGCTGTTTGAGATGATTGTTGGTTTTTGTTGAGTTTTATTCTAGTTTGGTTTTTCTTGAATGACATAGAGATTTAAGTCCTTTTTTAATCTGTTTTAAGCAGTGATTGCTATTAATTGCTAGAACATCTAAGTTGCATGCGGCTTGAAATTTCATAAACTGTTAGCTGTGATGAAACCATGTGAAATGTCTTGTCTGAGCGGTTGTTACTCAGTCGTTTTGACTTCGTTTTGTGGCTGTTTTTTCTGCCTATTTATTAGTTTCATTCTGCTTATTTAACAGTATCATTCTGGGTTATCAGAAAACAGTGTTATTCTGTGTTGCGGGGGGTGAACTGTATTCTGGCGTATCAATTCATCAATGGCTGGTGGCCCAAACGTTTTCTTATCATCATTACTCGTTACTTATTTCAAAGTGACGCTATTTGGATGAACATACGCCGGGCATCTCGTCATTTATAATGACTAATGGCGGGCGCAGAATAAGCGACATGTATGCGATCGTGGTGTCTTCATCATCTATTTCAAGATGAACTAGAGAAATCAAAGTTACATCAAATCCACAGCAAAAAAAAAAAAAAAAGTCAATAGGTGCGCGATTACATAATTGATTGATATTTTTGCTCCACACTATATCATGTCTCCTATTCGTTAATATGTTCTGCGGGAGGACTCAGAACCTCACCTTTTTTTGAGTCCCGCAGTCATAAATAACCCCCTCAAGAATATGATCCAAATAGCAAAGTGGCATACTAGTCAAACTTAAACCGTCTTGATTCTCTTGAAAAAGATTTGTGTTATTTAAAAATTGGACCTCTATCACTCAAGCTCTATGACATCCAAAGAAGTTACATCTTAATAACTCTTTCTAAATGGTACCGCGGCTGAGCAACAGCTCTTTGGGCTCCTGGAAATTGCCTCAACACGGTATGGGTAAAAGCAAGTACGTACGAACAATAAAATTAGTATTAACAGGTAGAATATCGATCATTTCAAACAAAATATAAATGTATGTGCAACTCAGTTTCCGCATATACCTTTTTTTAATAAAGAGTCCTCGCATCTCTATGATATTTTTCCCCCCGCGTTCAGGGGCTACGTTTCCGGGGACATAACTATGTGAAGCTGACACGAAAGTCAACATGTGCTTTTATCATTGACTAGTTTTTACACACGTGCAATGCACGTGATTTAATACCATGATTAAGTATTTTTGGCAGTTTGTGCTCATTTTTTTCTTTAAACTCTTACATCCCGATTATTTTTTTATGTTTGTTTAAATGGGATACACCCAATTTAAATTTTCATGTTGATATTTGAATTGACAAAAAACAAATATAGTTTAAAAATAATTTGAATTTTCATATTATTTTTGACCGATATGAAACTAAGCTTTATTTGAGAAAGTATAGCATTGCAAAGTAAAAAATATTAAAATAGTGTTATACAAGGAAAGTGAATATTTAAAACCAATATGACAAAATGATTGATTTAAAGTATGTTAAAACAATGCAAAAAAGAATATAAAGTTTATTCCTAATCATTGATAGACTTCATAAAAAAATATAAATTAAAGATTAATGCTAACTCTAGTATACTTTTATATGATAAAAACATCCACATAAGAATATAAAAGTACTGAAAAAAATTCATGAAACTCCCTTCTAAAGATTCCTAATTTCACTCAAAATAATTAAACTATTCTATAAAATATTCATAAAATATTGTTTTTATTTCTTCTATTTTATTTTTTATTGAGTTAAGATCAATCCTTCTTCAGGTTTATCATTTATCATTTCTCGGACAATTCTAGAGTATTGTCTTCATCATCTACATCAATTGTGACATCAGGCTAATTTTGTATTTTTTATGCTATTATCTTTCCTAGGCTCGTTAATTTTTTATCATCTCATTTAACTTTACAAAGAAGTCAAATGTACTTATGATGTTCAACACAAACTGCTCAAAATATAGACTTTGATTTTTTTTTCTATTTCAATGAGAATAAATATTAATTTCATATATATAAAATTCTTTGTGTTCCTAATTTATTACTTAAATAAATTAGAAGCTATCTCTTTATTTTCCTCTAAAATGAATTCTTCTGATGTGCATCCAATAAGAATTTCTGTTATTTCAATAATATTACCTTTGCTCTATCCCTGTCATTTTCCATAAAGATCTAAACTAAATACCTGCATTATTCATTACCAATTTCTCTTAGATTATAATATTAATATTTAATTTGAAGAACACAGTATGGAATTTATGAATACTTACTAATTTTTCTTATGTCTTCCATGGAGATTTTTTCTTTGATTAGGATAAAGTTATTAAATTATTTTTTAATGTAACTCATTCAGTGCTTCATTAATAGATATGTCTTATGTTAATGCCAATTCAAGTGATTCATTGACGTTTTCTGAATTTTAGATTTATTTCCATCACTTCCCCATTTGCAATGGAAATAACTCAATTCTTTTAAAGTTATCTCTAAATATTCGAATAGTTTCTCCATATGTAATTTTTTGTATTTTTTTACCCTATAAATATTATTAACGTTAAAGATTAAAGTTTCTAAATTAAAATCAATTAATGCTAAGGTATAATATTATAGTGTTTTATCATTTCTATGGATTTAAACTCCTATCAATTAATGTTACGAATGTATTTTGACTACCCCAACTTATTACTAAAATTATATGAAATTACTTTAATTTATATAGTGCCGATAATTTTTAATCTATAATATTTTAAAAGTTGTATCCATTAACCGGATGTTTTTAATCAATTCTTATTATTTTTGTTTACCAGTATCAACTTAGACTATTCTTAGATGCTGAAAATGGATAGTAAATCCATAAATTAGAAATTTTAATATATATATATATATAATATTATATAATATATTATATATATTATACATTATATATATTATTTATATGATTATATTATTATTATACTATATTATTATATATATTTTATATAATATATATATATATATATATTGTATAATATATGTATATATATATAATAACAAAGAAATTATCTTGTTCCTTTGCCAAGCTTTTAAAATTTAGCACATTTTTATGGTTTTGAACTTTGAGGGTGGTGATTTATAATTTTTAAATTTTAAAAGCAGTTTTAAAAAATTTACTTTTTAGATTTGGTAGTTGAATTCTGATGTTTATGTGTTGGTAGTATTTTTTAAGATGTTGAGTCTATTTCTTATAACTCTAAAAATTTGAGGGTTTCTTTTGCACTTATTAACTATAATGATTCATTTTGATAAATATTAAATTTGCAAGGCGGCTACAATCGACGAAGATTTGCTGTGTGCTAGTTAACATATTTTGAAAATTTAGAGTTTTTATTTTCACGATTTTAATTATGAAGGGTTTTTTTAAAAGATTTTGAAGGTTAATTTGGCAAATTTTAATTTTTAGTTGTCTAAGGTTATATTTGGAATTCTCTTATTTTATTTACAATTTTAGAATTTTAGGTGGCTTGTTTATAATTTGAACTTTTTGAAGTTATTTTTTTATAATTTTTGAGATATTGAGGGGGTGTTAGATGTAAGAAAATTTAAATTTAAATGTCAAAATTTTAGGTGTATCATGTAATCTATTGAATTCATCGTGTGTGTATTGTCATTTTAAAATTTTAGGAATTTAATGTGTTGTCGTATTAACTTTTGAGAGGTGTTTCTTTTTTGAGGACATTGAGGTGTTACATATAAATTTTAAATTCTTGCAACTAGATGTTAATTTTTTATTTCATGTTTTTATTTTATGTTTTTAGACATTTGATGAGTTTTTATATTTTGAATTTTTAGGGTCTTTTCTGGGCAATTTAAAACTTTTTGGTTTTTTTGCAATACTTCATGTATTATATATGTTTCTAGCTTGTAATTTTCTTTATCTTGACACAACTAATCATTTTTATTTTTATATATTTTATTATTTTTTGCAATTTTAAAATTTTTATGGTTTTTTTTATAATACTTCATGTATTATAATATGTTATCTACTTGTTTTTATTTATCTTAAAAACTAATTCATTTTTATGTTTTTATACTATTTTTAATATTTTGTTTTTTTAAATGGTTAAGTAAACATGGTTCACGATAGGATTAAGGTATAATATATGATTGCATAGGATAGATTAAAGATATAAATAAAATATTCAATAGTGAAGGTAATATTGCGCATTGAAAATTAGAATTTAATTATAGTAAGTAGTTAAACTATAAAGTGGGTATATCTTGATCTAAAAGATTTTTCTGACTCCTGTGCTTTTAAAGGGGAGTATGATATATATATATTATATTTATATATATAGTATTAATAATAGTATATATAGTATATTTTTATATTGAACTTTGTCAACTTAAGTGGACATCCACCAAAGTTTTATCCTTATGAAAAGTCTTTTCATGATGAATGCGGCGTCTCTGGTTTATCATGCTTAGAAAGTTGTGATTTTGGTGGATGGTCCACTTAAGTTGACATAAATTTTTTTTCCTCTCTCTCTATATATATAATCTAATATTAGTCACTTAAATCTTTCATATTTTGAATCATTGAAACCGCTACTAGGCACCCAAGATTTTAAGTTATTTTGAAATTAGTCCCCTAAATTAAGTTCTCTCAATTCTCATAAGCTGTTTTAAGTTAATCTCTCTATTCTACTCTTGATTGGAGGAACTAGTTTTAAAAGAAAAATTCCTCAAGGACCCAAAATATGGGATCAATAGGGGGGACAAGTGAGCCATCATTAATGATGACTAACTTATTATTCAATAGGAGGGGACACCTCACTTGTCCTTTGTATTGGTCCCGTATTTTGGGTCCACGTAGCAAAGCTCGTTTTAAAATAACTTTAAGTTTTGTGGGACCTCGTAGCAATTGCATTCACCTTTTAAGCGACAGCTTTCAGAGTAGGAACGATTTAAGGACTGATATCAAAAGGCTATACAGGCCCTTCAACTCTGAAGCCCGTCGACGGGCCCAAATTTTCCTTCAGTGATTTTTGTCGAGAAATTAATTAATAGAATAATTGATTTATCGTCTCTCGGTCGGGAGAGGAGATCGAGATGCAAATCATAATAGTTCACGAGGCTGAGGCCTGAACCTCAATCGCTCGATCCCCCTCTCTTAAACGGCGGTGAGTTTTTTTTTTAAATCTTTTTTACTTTCATCAAATTTGGGGTAGTTATGGATCAAATTTCATGCTTTTATGAGGAAATCTTGGAACTTGATTAGTTTGAATTTGATTTGATCCAGAAGTGTTAATTTTGCTCAAAACTTATTCAAGGGTTTTGTGATTCCTGTGTTTTTGTTGTCTGATTTCCCCAAGTGTTTGTAAACTTCGCGCCAAGCAAAATTGCATATAAACGCTCATAAAGCATCAAATAAGAAAAATTTCTGAACCAAATGTTAGTTATAAGATTACATCTTGACTGTCTAAATTTTATTGACAATAGCCACATGTTTTCTTTCTGCTCGAACTGATAATAATACAATAGCCACATACAGTGGCGTAGCCAGGAATTTTGTTTGCCCTGGAATCAAACTCCTCTACTATTTCTTCTGTGTCGAGGCTGGAAGTAATTTCTTTTTCAATATAAAGTATCATGTTATTAGCAAGCATTTCATCACCCATCTTGTTGCGTAATGATGTTTTTATGAGTTTCATTGCTGAAAATGCTCGTTCCGTGCTTGCAGGAGTCAACACGAGCCGAATCAACCTATCAATAAGAGGATACCTTCTGGATTTTCCTTTACTTACTAACTTTTGACATAATCCTGAGAGTGTAGTAATATTTTGAAAATCAGGATCACACCGCATATCATGCTCATAATGTTGCAATTGATGCCTCAGCTGATAATTAATCTCCATTTCACTGAAATCTTGGGGATAATATTTCTTCGCAAGCATGCAAAGGTCATCAACTTTAAATGATTTGAAAGAATCTTTTGGATCCAAAGCAGAGCTAAGACTTAGAAGTTCTACTGCTCTATCGGAGAATCTTTCACTTAACTCCATCACTTGTGTGTTAACAACTTCATATAATATATCAAAGCGATAATGATGCTCAATTGTAATTTCATCACTCTGCTGACAAGAACGACCTATGCCCTTCACATAACGAGAACTCATATCGGGTATATCAATTTCATGTTTCATACAAAAGGATACTACAGACTGTAGAAAATTTTGCCATGTCATCACCTTTCAACTCACAGAGAAGAGTTTTTGTGATAGATATAGAATCCATACCAGTTAAAATATCTTGATCTTTTCTTTGCAGTGATTGACAAAGTACTTCTGTTACTCTCATTATTTCAACCATTAAGTGTAAGTTGAAAACAAAGTCAAATGAACCCATTGTAGTAAACCCACCACTAGCTTCTGCACGGATTTTTCTATTCAACCCATCTGCCTTTATAATACCAAGAACTTTCCACACGGGTTTATACAAACCAAGCAAACTACAAGCAGAAGAATAGTGTGAGCCCCAACGAGTAGAAGCAGGTCGTCTCAAAGTAGTCTGCTGATTACCTCCAGTACTTGTTTGTAATTCACCTCTTTCTATCAAATTTTCAACTTCTTCCCTTTGTGCAGCTCTTAGTTGTTGATTCCACTTAGGAGAAACACGAACCAAATTCACAATGCAATTCAACATCTGAAAGAATAGCTCAATGCTAGATAATTCGCCTGATGCTGCAACTAATGCAAGTTGTAAGCGGTGGACAAAGCAATGAACATAGTATGCATATGGACATTCTTGCAAAAATAAACTTTTTAGCCCACTCCATGCACCTCGCATATTGCTAGCCCCATCATAACCTTGTCCTCTTATATTCTATACAAGCAATCCATTACGATCAAGTATAAGTGAACACATCTTTTTAAGAGTTTGTGCGGTAGTGTCTTCAACCCCTATTACATCAAAAAACCTCTCTCTGATAAAACCATCTGCATCAACAAATCTTAACACGATAGCCATTTGCTCACAATTGGATTCATCTCGAGATTCATCAACTAAAATACAAAACTTAAAGTCACCAATTTTTTCACAAATATTTTTCCTCACCAAGTCACCCATAATTTTCATAATCTGATTTTGAACCATTGCTGAGGTATAACTAGCATTCCCGGGAGCATTTTCTAAGATAACCTCTGCAACTTGCACATTAAGAGTTGCACTATATTTGAGCAATTCAATAAAGTTTCCACGATTTGCTGAATCAAGAGATTCGTCATGCCCTCGAAGAGCACATCCTTGACATGCTAGCCAACGAATAGCATTAATCGTAGTGACAACACGCAAGCGATTTTTCTTTATTTCAGCTTCATTTTGTAAGGTCAAATGTTTCTTAATGTTTTGAGATGGCTTTTTCAAAGCATCAAGCATTAAGTTTCTTAATGTTTTGAGATGGCTTTTTCAAAGCATCAAGCATTAAAACATTTTTTGAATGTATTGATCCTGTTTCTCCTTCATGCACTCAAAAATGACTATCTTTTCCTCCAGCTCTCTTCCAACTATTAAATCCTTTCGAAGTCCAAGCTTCTTGTTTCTTTTCCTCCAGCTCTCTTCCAACTATTAAATCCTTTCGAAGTCCAAGCTTCTTGTTTATGTTGTTGGGAGGAATTGCTCTCAAAAAGAAAACAAGAAGCTTCTTGTTTATGTTGTTGGGAGGAATTGCTCTCAAAAAGAAAACAAGGAAAACAATAGGCACGGTCAGTTGTTTCAGAATATTCTAACCAAGCATAGGTCTTGAACCAATCATATCGAAAGCTACGCCCGTCTTTATTTCTTGGATATTCTCGGAGGTTTGGTTGGCATGGCCCTATTGCTATGTAACGACGTCGAACCTCATCTTGTTCTTTATATGGATATTTCCATATTGCCTGACGCAGTCCTGGATCATAAGATACGATATCCTTGACCTTTTGAATTTTAGGAGGATGTTGCTCTTCCTCTTTATCATCAACCGTTGGCTCCGTAGACGGTGCCTCGCTTGAGGCTCCAGTAATGATGTTGCTCTTCCTCTTTATCATCAACCGTTGGCTCCGTAGACGGTGCCTCGCTTGAGGCTCCAGTAATCTCTTTTTTGAAATAAAATGAAAATAAAGTTTTCATTCCCTTTCTAGACATTTTAGCTTCAAAATTTAATAGATTGCGATTAGGATATTAAAAGATTGCATGCATTAAGAAGCACATTAAAAGATTATGATATAGGATATCGAAATTGCTAATGACTACCTAGATAACATCTTAGTCTATAAACCAAAATAATTAACAGAACTAACAGAGAGAACTAATAGGCACAAACAGAACTAACAATTCTATTTCATAATTTTCATCCATGATATGATTCTAAAATAACAGAACTAACAATTCTATTCTACAAACTAAAATAATTAACAGAATTAACAGAGAGAGAACTAACAGGCATAAACAGAATTAACAACAAAATTAACAGATACAGAACTAACTAAAAAGAAGACAGAACTAACAGGAAACACCACAGAACTAACAGGAAGCGTCATAGAACTAGCATGAGGGTGAGGGAGCTAGAGGAGGGCGTACCAGTCGAGGTCGAGGGGGTTGTTGACATAGCGCTGAGAGGCGAGGAGGATGTCGGCGAGTCGGCTACGGCGAGGATTTGGTCGGGGTGGTCGTCGGAGAGCTTGGGATCGTCGGATCGGAGAGCTTGGGATCAGCGTCGAACGGTCGACTGGTCGAGGGCTTGCTCTGGGAGGCGACTGGGGGCGGTCGTCGGAGTCTCGGAGAGCTTTGGGATTTGCGATCGTCGAAGGCTCGAAGCCCTAGCTTTTTTTTAGCCAGCCCCTTTTCTATTCTCTGCTCGCTTCGAAGTTCGAAATATTGGGATTTGGGGGAGTCGGGAGAAATAAAAGGGGTGGGGCTGAATCGGCTGATACGTAGTAACGTGACCAAAAAAATTGAAAATTTAAAAAAAAAAAATCATTTTCTTGCCCTGGGCAGCTGCCCAGGGCAAGTTCAACGTAGCTACGCCGGCCCACATAAAACTTCCACCGACAACGCAAATACCATTTCAATCGAGGTTTCTACTGACATAACCACTTGACAAGAGCTCAATGAAATTAAACAAATTAAACAATTTTAGTTAATTAATTTATTTATAATTAGAATATTTCTCTTTGTTTTATCACATTTCTCATTGGATCATACTCATTGTCAACTCTAGATTTACTAAAATCCTTATTGTTAAATAAAATAAAACCCTCGATTAAGAGTTTTATTTCATATCTTTGTTTCTTTGGTTTAGCTGTGAACCTATTCAAGTTTCTTGCTGATTTTTCCTCAATCTAAGTTGGTTTAGATTGCTAAGAAATTCTAGATAGAAGAAGAGACAATGTGTCATTGAATGTAAAAGAAGGGTACTTGTACAAATAATGTGCATGTTTGGTTCAAATGGGAATATCATGAAATATTACGGAAACATAGCTTAGTGGAAGGTAGTCTGTTCTGAAAAATCTCTAGGATAAACCAATATCAATCATACGAAAGCACAGAAAAAATATCGACAACATAAAACATATGGATATATGTGGTTTGGCTTGTAGCCTACGTCCACGGACAAAGGAGGAGAATAACTTTACTAAATTATGAGAAATATAATGCGGAGATCGCTCAATCGCTAATCCCTAACACACCCCAAAATGCACCTTAATCTCTCTAACAATCTCTACCACATGTAGAGCCAAATCATGAGCCCCTTGAACCTATTGCTTCAGCCTGCAGAGCCCATCTCAATGCATACTGTTATCGTTAGGTGGATCGAATACAATTTCTAAGACGTAGAGAAATAAAGTAGAGAGTCAATTACCTATAGATGCTGTGACCCTAGTTGGGTAAATTCTCATCAAAGAGCTTCTGTCATATGTGTAGAGACTAAGGATAAGAGTTGTTTCTACCCATAAATTCTACAAGATAAGAATCTTAATCTCAATGTAATAAACAAACTCTTTTGTCATTATTTTAATACTAGACATAGCTAATAGAAACTCTAATTGAATTGCATATCCTATTCAATGATTAGGATTTGAATCACCCGTAACATAGTCAAATGATACTCAAATGAAGAACACACAAGTTTTAAAATAGAAGTGCTGAAGAAAAAACATTAAGGTATTGTTTGTTAAGATGGTGATATATCGGGGCATTCTCCCCCCCACTGCCACCCCTCCCCTCAAAAACAACTTACCCTTTGTTACACTTGTATGCAACTTCCTTTAAGCACAAGGCACTATATTGTATCCCCATCAAGTGTATGGCATGCCCTTCATTTTAGAGTGGTTAATGTTCAATTTCCATCTTATAATAACGTGAACAGTTTAAGCACAAGATTTTTCAACCTTCCCTTATGAGCACTACAAATTTTCTTATACAACATAACAATGTACTATTTGTTTAGTTTGAGCAAAACATTCTCTTCTAACAACTCTGTTTTTATCTAGGTTTTTTGATTATGTTGAAGGTTGTCAGAATGATTATCCATTGAAGACAAGTTTACTACGTTGCATGTAAAACCCAATGATTCTCCCTGATCGGTTGTATATGAAAATACTGACTCATTTGGACCTCTTTGACATTGTAAAAATGTCACTGAAGCTTCCTCATGGCTTCTCCTTCCTTAGTAGTCAGAATTCCAATGAGAAGAAGGGCCATTCATCTAACAAACGTGAATTCTCACCGTCGTTGAAGCTTGTAACGGACAAGGGTATTTATAGGCCCGGTGAATTAGTCAATGCAACTATTGAAATTTGTAGTCCGAGAAACTCAGCAAATGACATCCCTTCAATTTTGATCAATAACCTTGGGTTTGACCTTAAAGGAATTGAGAAGTTGGATACTCAGTGGTTCTCCACGCAGAAGCCATTGCCAGGATCAAGGCAAAGACGAGGTACTTGTTTATTTCAATTTTTTAACATTTTAGAATCTTTTAAATTTCTTTGATAGTCAGAAACATTTAAAATTTTAAATGCATTTAAATCAAATTTGATGCATATACTGCCTTGCGTTTTATGACATGCTTTAATATAATTGCCAGCTTAACTTTTGATGATTTTTTGATTTTGTTAAGAAATATGCACATGATGAATTTGGCTTGTCACTTGCACCTCATTACTCTCTGCTTTTATATACATAAATAGCTTTTCAGTAAATCTTATGCGGATCAAGTGGCTAAAGAGAAATTAATTCATTTTTCTTTAAAAAAATTAATAGTGTTAATCTCTTATCTTTTCCATAATTCTAGTTTTAAAAATTTTCTAGTGATCATTTTAGCTACACAGGAATTAGGCTTCATTACTTTTCTTCATTTGCCAAAGAGTATTGTTGTTGTCTAATAAATTTTGCTTTTTTACCATTTTCTAATATAATACTTTTTGTAGTTTCTTAGAGTGTTTTAATTATATGATAGTATTAGTGTCAGCTTTTTGGACTATTCAAATATTCTTCATTTGCCTTTTAATATTATCATCATGTAGGCGAGCATCTGTTTCTGGACTGCTCAGCACCATCAATAGTCTCGAAGGTCATTCTTTCAACAGGAAGCACAAGAACATGTGAGCACAGTCTTTTTAGAAAACAATGGTTTGAGGCTGATTTGATTCCATTAATTTGTTTCATTATTGTGATTGATAAAGCTGTACTCTATTTTCTCAAAAGTACTTTGAATCAAGGACTATACAATTGTTGGAGCTTCAAATGTTTCTAGTGAAATTTCAACGTGCCATTTCATGAAGGGATAAATAGGACAGAAGTATGGTAGGAACAATTAATTTTGCTGAAAAGATGTAATGCAAAAATTAACTTTATTCATTTAATCGAGTCTAACTTTTCTTTTAATGCTATAAATTCATATTTTTGTTTTGTCTTTCTTGAGTTTTGTTGATGAACTTTTTCTGTTAAAGAGGTGTAATAGCTTTATTCAAGGGATAATACAAACAAAGAGATAAATTTATCCTCAAAATATCTTTACTATGCTGCCAGATGACAGCTAAGTTCTTGACCATCAGGACAACTATTGCCATCAGTACTACTCCCAACTCAATGAGGTTATTCAGGTGACTGTCCATAGCAAAGTTTCCATGTAGACGACTCCAAAAGTTTTGGGCTAAGTACTTTGTTATTGTTTTTTTTAGAAAGAAAGCTTGAAGTCCATATATTTTCCTTCTTGTAAGTTGCAAATCGATATGTCTATATAGATTATGTATTAGTGATTTTTCAGTACAATTTCAATTTGAGCTGTTTAAAGGAACACATGGCAGAAACTTCTTGATTACGATTAAGTAATTTTCAGTTTACGATAACACCACCACTACAATGCTGTCCCAATTATGGACAAAGATGAAACATGATTGAGGATTAAGTCATTGTTCATTGGCCTTAGTGGGTGCAGCTCAGCCTGTGAAATACAATCTATTTGGGTATTCGAATGTCACCCAGATGATAGATTGGGTACTGAAATCTAAACCTGCTCAAAAACTAAAACTTATAATAGGAGAGTCCTAGAGGGGGAAGAGGGATGAAGGAGAAAAGGAAAAGAAATTATGGTTTTGAGATAGAATCTCTACTTGGTAGCAATTAAGCTAATTATTAAAAAAAAACTTCATTCATTATTGATGCTAATTGCTATTGAGTTGGGATTCCTCCTCAAGACTCTAGTTTATTCCTCTTTTCCTTCTTGCTCCCTATTTCACCTCTCATATTCTACATTTGTAGGTATCATAACAAAACTCCTCCACTTCCAACGCGCTTCTCTTTCCTCTTCCTGTTCTGCATCAAAAGCATAGCGGAAAATACCAAGGGGGAAAACATACTATAAGATAGATAGGGGTGAAGAAAGAAAGAACAACACATGATTCAAAGTTCTCTCTGATTTCCCATAGAGGCCTTACTTAGATATATCTTTGTATAGTTTGAAGATTAGGGATCATAATATTAAAAGAACAAAATACAATTCTTATGAGGGCACATTGAAGAACATAAGGATACAAATCTAGGATAGAAATGTTTCACTGTCTATATATTCTACTCTCAGCAAAATGTTGATCTAAGAATAGCGGATTTTTGGGCTGTCTTGGGCTCAGAATGGCTAGTTCCTTTCACTTGTTTTAATCAATGAGTTCATGTTCTCCTTGCCTTGGTAGGAAAGGGGAAAGCTTGTGCGAGCATACAACTTCAAAAATTCCCTCAGAAACTCACTCTCTATTCCCTCCTGATTGATCGCAAGTTCTCTTTTTGGTTGAAGATCTCAACCACAATTGACTATATGCCTTTCACATTGTATGTTTGAAGCATTTTCTTCTTTTACAGATTGCTTGTAACATGTAGTTACTTTCCATGAATATACCTCTCTTTTTTCCTGGGCCATGATAGCCTTTCTCAACAACCACAACATAAAAGACACCCAATGAACTGATAATGATAATAAGAAAGAATAGCGACATAAAGTAAATGATTTGATCTCCAACTTTTTAAAGTTAGCTGTTCTGAAAGAAGTTGAATGTGAAATCCTATTTTGCCTGAACTACTCTTAGTCTCTTCTGCTTTACACTGCAAATTACATGTATTATATTTGATTGGATGCATAGTGCATTCAGAAGTAAACCTGATCCAGATTGGGTGGACGCTGATATATTATATAAAGAGAAAAAGTGAAAGGACGGGCGATGTTTAAATGGTTGGAGTGTGAGGCCAGACGGATTGTGACAGACTGTAGTTGGAAGAGAGGATTTCTAATGTTTGCTGTAGGAGCGCATGCGATAAAGGATTAATGTAAACAGGTTATTGCTACTAGTAGGGTGAAAACGAATTCGATTCGAACAGAGCACTGTTCAAATTCGAATTCAGTTCAGATAGAAAGATTCGAATTCGATTTTGAATTCGGTACGAAGATTGAACCAGATTTGAGTTTGGTTTGTTTACTTCTGTATAGATTTGATAATTATTTGCGAATATTCGAATCGTGAAAGATTTACCATGAATCTTGAGAGTGTGAGTCGAGAGAGACCAAAAGACAGTGTTGGAGAGAGAGACTCACCGGCGAAAGGAAAAAAACGTGTGAGGAAGAGAGAGAGGAGACCAATTGGAAGTTTTGCGACTGATTCATTCATGTGATAAAACCCTAGTCTCAAAGGTAAAGCTAATTGGGTTGTACTTGAGTGGAGGCCCATTTATTGTGGTAGTAGGACCTAATTGGGTCAGCCAGATTATGTTTTTTATTTGCTTTTTTTATTTTACTTTATATGATTGCATTTGTACTAAATGTATAGGATTAATAGCATTTGCAATAAGTTATATTAATAGAATGAAACGGTAAAATATTATCAAATAGTTATGATCAATCGAATTGAATATATCTTTGATTAAATTCTATTTGTTTATGAACCGACTTTTAAAAAATATTCATTTATAGTTAAATAAACTATCGAATTGAATCTAGCCGAATATCTGGAGGAATAATAACTGAATTGTTTATTAATTATTTGGTTCTTTTCCACCCCCAGCTACTAGTTGGACAAGGCTTGGTTTCATGTAAATATAATTCTTGAGGAATCTGTTATATCTTATTCCTTATGGTCAATGCTAGTTACTGTTGCAATATTTTTGAACATTTCTTGATTTGGCTTATTGACAGTACATGGTATTGGAGTATGAACAGTACATGTCCTTTAACATGTAAACCACCTTTACATATAATTTTTGGATACCTTATTCAAGATGAAATAAATGGGAAAGTGAAAGGTTTAGTAAGTGTTGGAATCCCCTCACTTACTAACAGGTTTAATAAGTACTTGGTGACCAGAACCAAGGGGAATCTTTTCTAATGTTAAGAGCCAAATTATAATTAAAAAAGATGGCATTTGAAAGATATTCATTTCTCCCAAACTATTGCTACATGTATTTGGATCAGGAGATTAGTTGAGATATTACCACTTACCATTTTCTTACAAAATTACAGAAAATTTTAATGATAGATAGATGAGTGTGGCTTATTTCCTTTGATGAAGGACCACCTAAATCAAGAATTATATGTTTCAGTAAATTATGTTTTCTTTTTTCTTTTCATGAAGTGAACAACAAGACAAGTAACTAGATTGTTTGTATGGCATTTGAAAGATGACTGCTCTTTCTTAATAGATCTGATATTTTCTTTGATATTTAATAATTTATGTTGATTTGTGCGGTATGTTTTGTTGGAGCTATTTTGTTAGATTGCTGATAGATTTGGCTAACACAGCTCTATTGAACGTTAGTTCTTTGTATCCTTAATTTTTTGTGTGTTTCTTGCTTCATTTTCAACTACATTCATATGCAATTTTTCTAGACTTATGTAAACAATACTGTGCAGATAACGTACGTGTAGAGCTGCCAAACATTTTACCACCAACTTACAGGGGCACAACCATACGCTATTTTTACTACATTAGAAGCACCCTATATGGACGATGGCTTGTGTTGGAGAATGGACATAATGATAGATTTTCCAGAGATGATTTTTTTCAGTTGGTTAGTTCATTTACTTAGTAATAACCTGAGAAAATCTTGTGATGAATTTTGTTGTTAACATGCTGTTCTTATTCCTATTTAGGAACATTCAGCTTTCTTATTTCTTGATCTATGTAGCAGTTATGCTGATTCATACTGTTTACTCGTCTCCTTTGCATCATTTTTCACTTAGTTGAGGTTTTGCTTTTCCGCATCTACAGTACTTATAGTGAAGATTAGATTTCAAGGCATTTGTTATCGGGAATCATCTATTGTATACTTATGAAGTAAATTATAACCTTTAGAGCTTATCAAATCTCTTTTGATCATTTTTTCCTCTATCTCTATTGTTCTATTGCACAGTTCTATTGCAAGCTAATAAGCAGTTTGTAATTTTTTTTATTCTCTCTATTATAACTGGTTGGTAATGAACTGAGTTAATATGGTTGGTATTATATGAATGGTAATCAAGTCTTTTTCCAGTTAAAGCTGAATCAAGGTGTATGGAGGCATCTTCTTGTATCCTTCCTCTTGATCATATTATTTGTTGCAGGAAGCTCGAACTCCATTGCAAATATGGGTCACTCAGAAGAGCAGCAACTTGTTGCATGGAGGTTAGTATACTTGTGGATGTATGTTGTACTTGGTGTAGCCTCCGTCCTAAGTGTTAATGAGAATGCCATATATCCGCTAATTAAGTATCCTGTAAAAATTCCACTAACAATACTAGTATTACTAACAACTCTGACCCTGCTATGATGGATTTGCTTTAGAATTTTCGGTTCTACATGTGAATGATCTTGTGAATAAGTCAGGCTTTTGTAGTGCAATGATGAAAGTCATATTCTGAATTAAAAAGGAAAAAAAGGTCAGCCTTTGGTAGCTGTATGCATGCTTCTGTCGTATGAAGCTCTCTCATTACTAGATATAACTTACAGAACATGAACTAGTTGCTAGTCCTGGTTTCAACTTATTATCTATGAAAGATTTAGAACATCATAAACTGTTTAGGATAATTTATAAGACCTATTAGAGGAAGCTGAAGTTTTCTTTCATGTAGCACATGCAAACTTGCTTCCTTTTCTTTTCAAAACCAACTTTGGCTGAGAAAAAGGGGGTGATGCTCCAATGTAATATACCCAAGTTAGTGAAGTCTTCACTGATTCCACACTTTTCTTATCATTATCAATCAGATTGGAGGAATGTTTGGAATCATTTGTTGGCCTATCCATATTGAAGTGCTAACTCTTGAGGCCTGCTGATATCGAGTCTTTACAAGACTAGTTGTGCCCGTGCCATAGTCAAAGGTTTTCTCTGTCCATATCCACTGAGTAGTTCAATTGGAAGCTCACACTAACACATGAAATGATTTGAAAGTATGAAGGAAAAGTGGATCAGGCAGTAGAGCTTGCCGGTTTAATGGCCGCTCTATGTAGTCGCTTCATGACCAGAAATTGCTCAGGCTTTCAGTCAGTTCTTTTAATCTTTTAAAAGCTTTGCTACAGGGACCCAAAATATGAGACCAATAGGGGAGACAAGTGAGGTGTCCCCCTCCTATTGGATAATGAGTTGGTCATCATTAATGATGGCCAACTCATTATCCAATAGGAGGGGATAATGAGTTGGTCATCATTAATGATGGCCAACTCATTATCCAATAGGAGGGGGACACCTCACTTGTCCCCCTTATTGGTCCCATTTTTCTGGTCCTTGAGGAATTTTTCATCTTTTAAATAGGATTTACTTCTGAATAAATATGAATGTCTTTTAAATAGGATTAACTCTAGAATAAATATGAATTTCATGTTCGGTTACGATGTAGGTTTTCAAATAATAGAAGTATTTAATAATAAGATACATTTTATTCACCATTCTGGAAAAAGTGAAAGAAAGAAGATAGAAACAAATAAAGAAACAAAACTGAGAAAGACATATAAAAAAAGATACATACTAATGCTATCTGGGAGGTGGTTAGCTGAGATGGTGGTAAAAGTGGCTCGCCTACAATGGCAGTCATTCACAAGAGACGGTGGATGAACAATCCTAGTACATTGTCATTGGATTAAATTGCTTGCTACAAATTAGATTGGTGGTAATGGTCACATTAAGCAGGGATGGTCCAGATGTTGGGTCGTTAGGAACCTATGTAGTAACCCTAAATAATTAGTGTCTTAAAACTTGATTAATGGAATTTTTTTTAATTTTAGATTAGGGAATTAATTAAGGGAATTTTAGGGATTTTACCCTAACCCCTGATTAATTGCCACGTTAATGATTTTGTGGCTAAATTTCATTCGTTTGTTTGGCCGGCACCTCTTAACGGGAGAATAAAAACAGAGAAAAACAGAGAAAATCAAAGAAAAATCACAGAAAAAAAACAACACAGAGAAATATCACCTCACCTTCTTCAACCCAACCCTCTGAGAACTCAAATTAAAATTGTGAAAAGAAATAAAAGAAGAAGAAGAAGAGGAAGAAGACAGTGAACAAGAAAACAGAGGATTTCATCTAATTTTCAAGTGACCAAAGGTACAAACCCTTTTCTATGTTAATTTCTTGTTTTAGAAGAATAAAGTGTTATAGAAATCTTAGTAAATCAATCAAAATAGAATGAATAAGGGAAATTAAATTGTTATGAATGTGAAATAAAGAATCTAGGGTTTGCAAATTTCTATGTTTAGGAGGCATGAAATAAACTGAAAAAAAAGCTAACCTTGTTTTTGGGAGGGGGGTTTCTCGTTGTCGGCCGGTTTTGGGTCGCCGGCGGTTTCCTCGTCGCCGTCCTGCAGCCATGGCGGAGAGAAAGAGAGGGGAAGAGAGAGAGAGAGAGAGAGAGAGAGAGATGAGAGGAGAGGAAAACCGAAAGGGGGAAACCGAAAAAAAGGGAAAAAAAAGAGAGGAGAAAAAGAAACGAAGAAGGAAGAAGGAGGAAGAATGATCTGGAGTCTGGAGTTTTGATAGAGGAAAGGAAAATTTACAATTAGCCCCTGAACCATAAAATTCTTTTTGAAACAAACCTTATAGTTTGAAAAAGGACTGGAAAATAATTATTAAGCCCCTGTCTTTTGTTCAGTTGTAAACAAGTCTAATCTGATGAATAAACAATAAAATTTCAGACTGGATAAATTCCCTATAACCCCTATATTATTATAAATTAATAAAAAGTCCAAAAGCTAGTGTCTGAGAATTATAAAATTTTGATGAATTACCAGAGATAGCAACAAACTCATATGCACTGCATAATTTAATTATTATTGATTATATTTGAAATTTATTAGACTCTAGATTATGAATTGATTTACCTATAATATATGTTTGTTCTGAATTAATAATTAGTCATATATCTTATATTATAGGTTCTGGTTGATATTCGGGAGACTAATATTTTGAGAAAGTCGTGACCACTAGAGGTGAGTTCATTTCTCACTAGTAATTTATAATATGAAATTGCATGAGTTTTATATTTGAATTATCTTGTGATAAAAATAAATAAATAAATAATTTTGATGAGGTATTTGGAACGTATTTCAACAGTTTAACGGATTCAAAGACTCTTTGTGACTTAGTATCTGATAAAGGAAAAATCTGTAAACTGTTTTAACAGAAATGAGGCGCTTTACCTTGTCAATTTCATTTGAAATATCTGCAAATTCTGTATGCAAAGTATTTATCATTTGATATGTGATCTCGATGTTTTCAAACCCTCAAATAGTCCACTATGAATTAGTTCTGCCTGCCATATGGTGAATGCACCTTTATTTGGCCCTTCTGTATTTGGTCTTGGCCCTTCTGTATTGGCCCTTCTGAAATATGTTCTGGCCCCTCTGTATTTGGCCGGTAGCCTATGGCAGTGTTAGGTGCATTCGATTTTCGGGAATTATCTGTTATCTGATGCGGTTTACGCATTCCCTTGCTACTGGGCTAAAATTCGTAGCCTTAGTGTGACCTATGGGGTGACTTTTACGTTCATGAAATAACTCATCGAGATATAAGATTCTGATAATTTGACTGTGAAATTGAGAAAACAACAATTCTCTGATTTTGCCCAAATTAGTAGTTCTTTTCTTCTTAATGTTTACCTTGATTCAAAAAGAGTTCGATTCCAAGAAATTTCACAGTTTATTCAGTTGCACATGAGAAAGAAAATATAATTGTTGTATTCTTTCTTAAAAATGACAATATTACAATATCTGGATCGTAGTTTATTATCTTTGAATTTCTCATGCAAATTTTGCAATTTGTTATTTATGAGAATTATTCTTATTACTATTTTGTTAGTTATCTAGGAACTCTAGTGGGAAATGTTCTCACTGAGCGCTAGCTTATTCCGTTATTTTTAAATTTTTTCAGATCCGGCGTAGCTTCCTATTAGCCGACTTTTGGTTTGAGCTTTTGGCTGAGAGGCGTGATATGGAGAGCCTCTTCTTTTTGATGTTACCTTCAGCATAGTTTGTTTTGTTTTGTAAAAATACTTATAACGGTGAGTTGGTGAGTTGTAAGTACCGATCATATATATAGTTGCTCTGATTTCAATCATCAGCAGGATTATGAATATTTTGAAAATAAACTATGTAATATGAATTGCCAGGCTTGACTCGTGCATAAGACTTGTCTTGTGCACGGGTCGCTGCTGTCGCGTACCCCGTATTTTATGAATTTCTACTGAAGAGTTTCGGGGCGTGACAGTAAGGTGGTATCAGAGCTTAGGTTTCGACGTTAGAAACCTTGTAGGGCACGCTATCATAGAGTATATGCGCTAGATGAGTGTTAGCGTATGGATCAATTATGTGATATATGTCTGTATACATACGTATATATATATATGTATGCATATAAATATTTTATAGTAAAACCTTTTAGGGTTCATTAAGGAGTGCTTAGATGTTTATTTTATTTTACTTTGTCCTTTTTCTTCAGTAAGCTGATGGATGGTTCCCCTTTTGTAGGATGGCGGGAACCAATTCATCTTCCAGTTCGTCAGCTACCCTGTCCAGCCCTATGATTTCCGTAGATAGCTCGTGGGAACCCAGCCTGAGAGACTGGGGATACACTTCCGATGAAACTGATCCGAACGTGATAATGGCTAACCATATGACCCCCGACTCACCGAAGGTCGAACCAGTAGAAGTTGTTATGGTAGATTCATCCGAGTCTGAGCTTGAGGATCTCGTGGTAGAAGTTATCCCAGTTGAGTCATCGCCTTCAATCATTATGATTCCATCCGACCCCTCTGACATGGAGTCCATTGTAGCCCAGATTCCTAGTGATGACCAGAGACTTGCCCCCCCTGTGGGTGAGTTGAGTAGCCTAGGCATTGGTCCAGATCTCGACCTTGAAGGATGGGGGACTAGCGGCATAGATCCAGATCCAATGTCCAATTCTGTTGATAACCAAGACTCAGAGGAGACTGAACCAACTGAGGAGAAGTCTAGTTCCAGCAGCTCCTCTTCCTCAGGGAAATAGAGCATAACTGTTAGGGCAATTTTGTAATATCAGTATATGGGTTTTCATAGTCACTCTTTTGGTTTATGTAGGACATTTTGGTAGAAAATATGTATATATAAACCCATATACTCAGATATGTGTATGAAAAAAAAAGTTAAATATTAATAATATACTTTTGGTTTGTAAATACTGATTTGTGTTATTATGTTTAGTAATGATTGAGTTCCTAATTACTTAAATTGCATATATGTGACTGACTTAGGAATTTTCCTTGTATAATAGTTGACTGAAATATTTTATTATTTATAGGAAGCTATGACTTTAGGTAATGAGCAAACCCTTCCTAACGGAGATAGGGATCTAAATCAGACAATAGGTGAAATGATGAGATCTAGAATCGCTCGTGCATCCACCTCTGAAAACTCAATAGATAACAATGTGTTGATGGATTTGCTGCAAGCGGTGACAACTGTAGTCACCAGACAACAAGATCAAATTGATCGTAGTCGGACGAATGGTCAAAATGAGGAGCACCCAAAATTAAGAAGTGGCATGGGAGAATTCAAGAAACTATCTCCACCCAATTTTGAGGGAACAACTGATCCCATGATTGCTGAGCATTGGATCACAGAAATGGATAAGGTCTTCACATACATGAAATGCCCTGAAGAGGAGAAGGTTGATTATGCAGTATACATGTTAAAAGACTGCGCTTACGGGTGGTGGCAAATGCAGGTCAGGACGTTGGGAGAGAAAGCATACAAGTTATCATGGGAGGAGTTTAAAAAGATTTTTTATGAAAAATATTTTCCTTCAACTGTTCGCAAACAAAAAGAACATGAGTTTCGAAAATTGGAGCAATGTGATAAGACAGTAGCTGAATATGAAAAAGAGTTCACTTATCTGTCAAAATTTGCCATTCACTTGTTGGGTAATGAGGAAGATAGAGCTCGTCGCTTCGAGGAAGGGCTTCGATCGGACATTCGGAAGACGGTCAGTGCATTTGAACTCCCTACATATGGAGAAGTGCTAAAGAAGACATTGTTAATTGAGAAAAATGAAATTGATACAAAGCCAAAGAATAAGACGAGCAACTCCTACCCAAAGAAGCGGTTCTGGCAGGATAATCGCGGTGGAAGAAATAAGAATTGGAGAAACAAAAAGCAAAACTTTGGACGCAGAGAGGAGCAATTTCCAAATCAGAAAACTTTAAGATGTGATGTTTGTCACGAGAAATACCGGAGCTTGTTTGAGATGTGGCCAGAAGGATCACAAAATAGCAAATTGTCCCCTTCAGCAATCATCTCGGAATACTTTCCAGACTGGCCAGTCCAGTGGTGGGAATCGGTATCCTCAAGCCAAGGCCCGAGTTTATTCTTTGACTGAGAAGGATGCAGAAACAAACAAGGATGTGGTGACAGGTACGCTAACTTTTGCATCAGTTCCTGCTCGAGTACCATTTGATTCTGGTGCATCGCATTCCTTTATTGCTGCACAGTTTGTTAAGAGAAACAAATTACCATTTGATACCCTACAACAAGAATTGCTTGTTAGTACACCTGGAGGTAGCATATTAGTATCAAATCAAGGTTGTAGGGGTAAAATTTATATTCTCGACAAGGAACTTCCCGTAGAATTAATGATGCTAGAAATGCATGATTTCGATATCATATTGGGGATGGATTTGTTATCCTTAAATCATGCTTCTATTTTATGTCGAGAAAAGAAAGTAGTATTCAAATTTCCTGGCCAACCCGAATTTCGTTTTGAGGGCGGAAAGTCTCAACAACCTTTAAAAATCATCTCAGCCCTTAAAGCATATCGAGCGCTGAGAAGTGGATGTATGTGTTATTTAGCTTCGGTTGAGATGATTGATGATGGAAAACCAAGCTTGGAAGAAATACCAATTGTCCGAGAATTTCCAGAAGTATTTCCAGATGAACTTCTAGGAATGCCCCCAGATAGAGAAATTGAATTTTCAATTGACCTAGTACCTGGTACGAGTCCCATCTCTAAGGCTCCTTATCGAATGGCACCTGCTGAATTGAGAGAACTAAAAGTGCAACTGCAAGAACTTTTAGATAAAGGCTTCATTCGGCCAAGTGTGTCACCCTGGGGTGCACCAGTGTTATTTGTAAAGAAGAAAGATGGAAGTATGAGATTATGTATTGTTCCGTGAATTGAATAAGGTAACCATTCGGAACAAGTATCCATTACCAAGAATTGATGATCTATTTGATCAATTACAAGGAGCTCAGGTATTTTCAAAGATTGATCTCCGTTCTGGTTACTATCAGTTAAAAATCAAGCCAGAAGATGTGCTAAAAACTGCATTTCGAACCCGCTATGTTCATTATGAATTTTTAGTTTTACCATTCGGGCTCACAAATGCACCTGCAGCATTTATGGATCTTATGAACATGATATTTAAACCTTTCTTGGATCAGTTTGTTGTGATATTTATTGATGATATTCTGATATACTCAAGAAGCAAAGAAGAACATGAAGAACACTTGAGGCAGGTGTTGCACACATTAAAGAGAGAACAACTGTATGCGAAACTTAAGAAATGTGAATTCTGGTTGGAGGAGGTAGCATTTATTGGACATGTAATCTCTAAGGAAGGAATTTCTGTGGACCCTGAAAAGGTAAAAGCCATTGTTAAATGGGACAGACCGACTACGGTGACGGAGATCCGTAGCGTTCTTGGTATGGCTGGCTACTATAGAAAATTTGTAGAAGGATTCTCTCGTATTGCTTCACCTCTAACTCGTCTTACTCAGAAAGGAGTTAAATTTATTTGGTCAGATGAATGTGAGAAAAGTTTTCAAGAGCTAAAAAGTCGATTAGTGTCTATTCCAATACTTGCATTACCTAGTGGAGACACAGGCTTTGCTATTTATAGTGATGCATCTAGAAGAGGATTGGGATGTGTACTTATGCAAAATGGAAAAGTCATAGCATATGCTTCAAGACAGTTAAAGCCTTATGAACAAAACTATCCCACTCATGATCTTGAGTTAGCGGCAGTAGTGTTTGCTCTCAAAATTTGGAGACATTATTTATATGAAATACATTGTGATATATATACTGACCACAAGAGTTTGAAATATATATTTACCCATAAGGAGTTGAATTTACGGCAAAGAAGATGGTTGGAGCTTCTGAAAGATTATGATATGACCATCCATTATCACCCTGGCAAGGCAAATGTTGTTGCTGATGCATTGAGCCGTAAGAATTCATGTAACTTAGCTTGCCTAATTACTTCTCAAAGAAAAATATTGGAGGACTTGGATCGTACTGGAATTAAAATTAGAGTCCACCAAATTGGAGTTAAATTAGCAAATATGGTAATACAACCCTCTTTGCTAGATGAAATTAAAGCAAACCAGCAGAATGATCCTCAACTGTTGAAGATAAAGAAAGATGTGGAAGAAGGCACTCGAAAAGAATTTAAGATACATAAAGATGGATCATTGAGATTTGGAACTAGAGTTTGTGTGCCTAACATACCAGAGATAAAGAAAAAGATTCTAAAAGAGGCACATCACTCTCTGTATACTATGCATCCTGGATCAACAAAAATGTATAAAGACCTGAAGGAAATATATTGGTGGAATAATATGAAGAAGGAAATTGCCACCTATGTTGCAGAATGTTTCACTTGCCAACAAGTAAAGGCTGCACCAAAGACCAGCTGGATTAGTCCATAACTTGGACATACCAATGTGAAAATGGGAAAAGATCACCATGGATTTTGTCACTGGCCTTCCAAAATCTTTGAGAAAGAATGATGCAATATGGGTAATTGTTGACCGGTTGACAAAGTCAGCACACTTTTTACCTATCAATATGAAATTCTCATTAGAAAAGCTGACTAAGATGTACATTAATGAGATAGTAAGGAGAAAGAAAACTTCTTGGACCAGAGTTGGTACAGCAAGCAATTGATAAAATTCACTTAGTTCGAGAACGTCTTCGCACGGCACAAAGTCGTCAGAAGAGTTATGCTGATCAAAGAAGAAGGGAATTAGAATTTCAAGTAGGCGATCATGTTTTCTTAAAGGTTTCGCCTACCCGAGGAGTGAAAAGATTTGGTATCCAAGGGAAGTTAAGCCCGAGATTCATTGGTCATTTTGAAATTCTAGAGCATATTGGTCCAGTGGCATACATATTAGCATTACCACCAGCCCTGTCTGGAGTACATGATGTATTTCATATATCCATGCTTCGAAAGTTCATCCGAGATCCAAATGAGATTGTTGAGTTGTCTCCAGTAGAGCTCAAGCCAGATTTGACCTATGAAGAAAGACCAGAACGTATTGTGGATTATAAAGAACAAGTACTCCGACACCGAATAATCAAATATGTGAAAGTTCAGTGGAAGAATCACTCGGAAAGAGAAGCTACTTGGGAGACTGAAGATTCTATGCGAGAGAGATATCCAGAGCTCTTCGAGATATAGGTATGTTAAGTTTCGAGGACGAAACTTTTTATTAGGAGGGAAGAGTGTAGTAACCCCAAATAATTAGTGTCTTAAAACTTGATTAATGGAATTTTTTTAAATTTTAGATTAGGGAATTAATTAAGGGTATTTTAGGGATTTTACCCTAACCCCTGATTAATTGCCACGTTAATGATTTTGTAGCTAAATTTCATTCGTTTGTTTGGCCGGCACCTCTTAACGAGAGAATAAAAACAGAGAAAAACAGAGAAAAACAGAGAAAATCAAAGAAAAATCACAGAAAAAAAACAACACAGAGAAATATCACCTCACCTTCTTCAACCCAACCCTCTGAGAACCCAAATTAAAATTGTGAAAAGAAATAAAAGAAGAAGAAGAAGAGGAAGAAGACAGTGAAAAGGGAAAGGAAAAGATTCATCTAATTTTCAAGTAATCCAAAGGTATAAACCCTTTTCTATGTTAATTTCTTGTTTTAGAAGAGTAAAGTGTTATAGAAATCTTAGTAAATCAATCAAAATAGAATGAATAAGGGAAATTAAATTGTTATGAATGTGAAATAAAGAATCTAGGGTTTACAAATTTCTATGTTTAGGAGGCATGAAATAAACTGAAAAAAAAATAATAATAATAAGCTAACCTTGTTTTTGGGAGGGGGGTTTCTCGTTGTCGGCCGGTTTTGGGTCGCCGGCGGTTTCCTCGTCGCCGTCCTGCAGCCATGGCGGAGAGAAAGAGAGGGGAAGAGAGAGAGAGAGAGAGAGAGAGAGAGATGAGAGGAGAGGAAAACCGAAAGGGGGAAACCGAAAAAAAGGGAAAAAAAAGAGAGGAGAAAAAGAAACGAAGAAGGAAGAAGGAGGAAGAATGATCTGGAGTCTGGAGTTTTGATAGAGGAAAGGAAAATTTACAATTAGCCCCTGAACCATAAAATTCTTTTTGAAACAAACCTTATAGTTTGAAAAAGGACTAGAAAATATTTATTAAGCCCCTGCCTTTTTGTTCAGTTGTAAACAAGTCCAATCTGATGAATAAACAATAAAATTTCAGACTGGATAAATTCCCTATAACCCCCTGCATTATTATAAGTTACTAGAAAGTCCAAAAGCTAGTATATGAGAGTTATAAAATTTTGATAAATTGCTAAAACTAACAATAAGCTCATATGGACTGTAGAATTTAATCATTATTGATTATATTTGAGTTTATTAGACTCTAGATTATGAATTAATTTACCCATAATATATGTTTGTTCTGAATTAATAGTTAGTCATATATCTTACATTATAGGTTCTGGCTGATATTCGGGAGACTAATATTTTGAGAAAGTCGTGACCACTAGAGGTGAGTTCATTTCTCACTAGTATTTTTATAATATGAAATGACATGAGTTCTATATTTGATTTATCTTGTGATAAAATAAATAAATAAATAATATGTCTTTTCATGTATATAAAGATTTGACCTATTTCTGTTGTGGTCTATCCTATAATACTATGTTAACCTCGCACAATATATGAAAAGCTAATTTGATCTGTATATAAAATATGAAAAAATAAATTTGGCTCTCATGCAATTTTCAAATAATCGTGGACATTGTTTTATCTGAATAATTTGATGAGGTATTTGGAACGTATTTCAACAGTTTAACGGATTCAAAGACTCTTTGTGACTTAGTATCTGATAAAAGAAAAAATCTGTAAACTGTTGTAGCCTATGGCAGTGTTAGGTGCATTCGATTTTCGGGAATTATCTGTTATCTGATGCGGTTTACGCATTCCCTTGCTACTGGGCTAAAATTCGTAGCCTTAGTGTGACCTATGGGGTGACTTTTACGTTCATGAAATAACTCATCGAGAAATAAGATTCTGATAATTTGACTGTGAAATTGAGAAAACAACAATTCTCTGATTTTGCCCAAATTAGTAGTTCTTTTCTTCTTAATGTTTACCTTGATTCGAAAAGAGTTTGATTCCAAGAAATTTCACAGTTTATTCAGTTGCACATGAGAAAGGAAATATAATTGTTGTATTCTTTCTTAAAAATGACAATATTACAATATCTGGATCGTAGTTTATTATCTTTGAATTTCTCATGCAAATTTTGCAATTTGTTATTTATGAGAATTATTCTTATTACTACTGAGCGCTAGCTCATTCCGTTATTTTTAAATTTTTTCAGATCCGACGTAGCTTCCTATTAGCCGACTTTTGGTTTGAGCTTTTGGCTGAGAGGCGTGATATGGAGAGCCTCTTCTTTTTGATGTTACCTTCAGCACAGTTTGTTTTGTTTTGTAAAAATACTTATAACGGTGAGCTGGTGAGTTGTAAGTACCGATCATATATATATAGTTGCTTCATCAGCAGGATTATGAATATTTTGAAAATAAACTATGTGATATGAATTGTCAGGCTTGACTCGTGCATAAGACTTGTCTTGTGCACGGGTCGCTGCTGTCGCGTACCCCGTATTTTATGAATTTCTGCTGCAGAGTTTCGGGGCGTGACAACCTATATTTCATTAAAAAAAGAGGCGCTTGTTTCATAAGATTATGAACATAATGAAGAAGTGATTTGAGAATTCCAACCACATCTGTCATCAGTTAATCATGCACTTTTTAGAAGAGAATAATGGAGAATAATTAAGGAAATAGTAGAGTGAGAATAGCTGCAACCCCAACGGAGGAAATAATAGTAGCTAATTTACGGCCTCTGAGGTAATGTGCCAATAAGCACACGGAAATGAGCCATCAACAGATTGGATGGCGATGACATTTGGAGCAAGATTCCTTGACCCTTGTAGTTGAAATGGGTCCATGGCTAGTAACTCTGAATAACAAGTGATGGATCACTAAACAATTCTTTAAGTTCTCTGTGGTGTCGGAAAGAGTTGTGGTCTTAATCCACTTTGTGAAATAGTAGATGACCACCATGATACATTCTTTTGTTCTGTGATTGTGACAAATGCATTGTCATAGAATCATAGGCTGCACATCACACCATAATAATTTTTTCTTTCTTTACCATTCACAACCCGCCATGTCCTGAGAGGAAAAAAGTTTAGCAAGTGCCTAGGTGGTATCCAAGTGCTAATGCCTACGAGTAGCTTCTGCTTCCATAATTTAAATGAGGGTAAATTGTAGATACACCTCTCTTCTACAGGGCTTAGCTACTTATTACCCTAAACAATTTTATTGATACATACACCCCATAGCTACTTATTACCCTAAACAATTTTATTGATACATAACCCCTGACTAACTAATCTTTGGACTTTATATGATTTGCTTGATACAATTTTATTGATACATTACCCCATAGATACAAGAATATGGTTTTATATGTTTATTTTGTCTTTATATTTTGTTCACATAGTTCCCCTCCAAAAGAATTTTATTCATATAATTTGTTATTTTATGTAGCAACCTAATTTTAGTCATATGATCAATAAATTAATCGGCTTTGTTCAATGGGACAGATCACTCCATCTTATACATAATTTTTGAAGTAAAGAAAAACAATATACAACTTTTTAATACTGGACAAGGATGCCCATGCACGTTATGTGGTGCCCACGTGTTGGATACATCATGATTTTTGTTGGTTAGGAGAAGTGTCCTACATATAATAGCTTTAAAAGCAATTCGAGTATCTAATTCATCTAGCAATCTCAATTGAGATTATTTAATGAAAGCAATTGCATGATCCTTAGTTTCAATATTCTGTATTCCCTTGGGATTCCAAACCCAGGCAACTAATGTGGCTCTCAACTAGTGCTATCTTTTGATGGGTCGAAGAAGGAACTGACATTTGCTTATTTTATTTTTCCTGTACTTGTCTTTCATTTTCCAAATTACAGAAGGATACTTCATACTTGTTTATCCATTCTAGGTTAAGCATCAATGTAGAAAGTGTATAATCTTTTTACACATAACTTTTCTATATTTGAAAAATACTTGCGTCCTCTGTACTTATTCAAGTTTTTTTTGCTCTTATCTGTATTTTGTTTGTAGTTTATTTCTTTTGAATGGGTCTTAATTTGGATATCTTGTTCATCAATATTATTTATCCAGTTCCATTCTATGTCAAGCTCATCTTGTTGACCTTCCATATTGCACATCTACTACTGTTTATATGTGTAAGTAGCTAATATTCTACACCAGGTTACTGATAACATGGTTACACCATTTGTGGTAATATTTTAGGAAATTTGCCTGTACAATCTCCGCAGGTTGATATTTACTGGAAAGAGAAGGATATGGATAGCGAATGGGTGAGAACTTGTAGTTTTCTTATACTATTTTGTGTTGGTATTAAAATTGTTAAATGATACAATCAGGATCAAAGTTATTTAGTTTTTTAATTGTTAAGGTTGCTTGATATATACATATTTTGTCCAGCAAGCTATTACATTTATCATTTTGTAAAAGCAGTTAACTTATTTTGTAGTTTATACTAAGCAAAAGAGCATTGAGTAGCAAGAAGACCTAGTTCAACATCATCATTGGCAATTCAGAACATGTTGTTTATCCCCATTTTCTCTGCCTTCTGTTCTGAACCATCTTTCAGCTGAAGCCTTAATCACATGGTCTGAAGGTCCATGGTTGATGTTAATAAAACTCGATAAGACTCGTAAATCTAAATTTTTTTTGCAAAGTGGCATCTCGCAATAGTATTTGTCGGTTTCTCTCTTAGATCTAGATGTACTTCTTGTTTTACGTTTATTTTTGTTTTCTCTTTGTAACTCTCAGTAGTCAACCAGTCATGAGGAGTTAAGTCCAACAGTTGCTAACAAGTTTTCAGTCATCTGGAATCAGTTCACGCCTCACGGGATATGGATGTCATACTCCAACACAGACACGGGGGTGGGACAAGGCAACCCTCCAAAATGTAGACATGAGATAACATGGTTATACATGCTTGTTTTTGGTATAGGTATAGTTAGCTTATTTGACTATACACATAGGACCGTCTTCATAATAGACATGATTTTATTATTTGTGATTTATGAATACTGATAAGAGTATTATATTTGGCGTTGTCACAGTGCAGAATGAAGGTCTTCAGAGTTTAGACACAAAGCCATGGCTATGTATGCGTCTCTTTTTTGAAGACATGCATGGTTAAGTCATATAGATATATGTATTGGATTCTTATCCTCATCTGAGAGAAACTACCTTATAATTTGATCTATTAACCAAATAGATTTTTGTCCGTCAGATAAGGGCATAATATACTTCATCGAGTTCATAGATTTGAGATGAATAAAGGTCTACAAGGTTGTCACTTTTCAGTGACGTGCATGATTATACATGTATCATTTAAAGCCATGCTAGACATGCCTATGTTTTGCTAGGGAGATGCCCTACATATCATACAGTTACCACATGAAAGGAAGTGCAATGTCTGACAGCCTATAAGATGATAAAGCTTAAGATAATGCTACATGTAATGTTAAGTTTATTCATTTCTCTTTGCAGCAAAGCCATTCAGCCCCAATAAAATGTTGTTTGAATAATCATGACAAGTTTTCATCCAATCAACTACTTAATATATGAAGCCAGAACTGCAGCTGTTCTTATCTCACTAAAGCACGTTTGCTTCTTGGGCAGACTAGAGCTGACGAAGATCCAGATGGCATTGAAGAAGAATATGACAGTTCAAGAGATGATGTTTCATCTGTTTCCTCCTACAATGTTACCAAAGGAAGTACTGATATACCTCTTAGAAGCTCCGTTTCCTTGCAGTCAATGGTAATGAGGATTACCAATAATGAGGCACAAGGCTCCAGTTTCCCTTCACGTATTCCAATTTCTCAACTTTCAGTTGCTGAGATCCCGGATGAGCCTAGTGGGGGTGAGGATCCTTGTTTCATGGACATGCATACAATGTTTGATAAACAAACTCTTCAAATCTCAAATTCTTTTCTGTTATTATTGATTTTTTGTGATTTTATTTCCTTTTCTTTGCACCATCAGACAGTAGCTTCTCTGTTACGAAGGTGTGTACATATGTATTTATATATTAGTTTTAAATGCAAGTTTGCTTACTTCTTGAAATGCTTGGAACAGATCTTGCAGCATCTCCAAAGAAGCTTAATCATTCTTCCTCTTCACTCTCCCCTAAACTGCACGGGGAGATGTCAGGCTCCAGTTATATTGATAAAGGGGCACATTCTATGAGTGGGCCTGTTGAACCTGCCTCATGTAAAGTATCATGCTTAAATGTTTTGTGTGAAAAGTAGTTTTAACTGCAGTGGTGTCTGTCAAATCTCACTAAACAGCAATCATCAATGAACTAATTTACATAAACATTTCCTGCAGCAGAAGGCTTCTTTCGAGGAAGATCTTATAATATCAGAATTGATGACCAAGTTTTACTTCTCTTTTCTCCAAGAAACTTTGATTCTGCTTATTATTTTGGAGACATGGTGAGTATAATAGTAAGGTAACATATGTCCTATTTGTCCAAACCAAAGTAATGGTTCTCTCTTTACTGGTGCAGATTGGTGGAGCTCTTACTTTCTTTCATGGAGAAGGATCTAGGAGATGCCTTGAGGTAAATTT